TCAGTGGCCCTAGAAGTCAGGTAACATAGTATAAAGGGCGAGAAAATCCTCATATGGAGGATGGTGGTGGGGTGGATGGATGACCCAGACGAGTGCAGAACTGTAACCCAGGAGACTGTTGTTGGTGTCCCACGTGAAACCAAAAGTAAAGTTATTATTTACTTATTCATTGCTGCTAACTTGACTGCGGAGCCCTGCGCGTCCAGAAATGTTTTGGACTTGAAAGGTCGCACTGCTTCCCAGCATTTGACACATGTAGTCATACTGACCAATAAAAGGCTACACCCTCCTAAAGCTGACATTTCCTGGCTGCACCTGATTGAAACACTTTTTTTGCTCCGGGATTTAAAACCAGACCAATATGGCAGCGCGATTGGAAGGTTTCTCTTATATTACAATAACAGTTGAAAGTAAAACATAAAACATCTTCCTGTGTCATCTAATCACCAGATTACATAGAAAGACTGCTCTGATTTACAGCACTCTGCCTCCTTTCAACTTCATAACCCTGAAAAACTGAGGCTTGATATCTCACTGAGAAATATAATTAAATAAATACAGATGGAAGCAAAGATTGAGGCCCGAAAGGATTTGACCAAGATGCATTCATGTGGGGTGGTACTGAGGCAACGCAGTTATCTATTTTTTCATTATGCTTTTCTCTTTTTTTGGGGGTTATTCTTTGTAGTGTAGATTTTGATGATCCCCTCCATTAGCCTTGAGTGAAGCTTTATGAAAATAGATAATGTAATTATGCATGCAGTGTAAACTATGAATTTTTAATGGCTGGAAGATAATGAACCTTACTTTAATTTTTTGTGCATTCTGTTTATTTGCTGGTGTTTTTTACGATGACATGTTTGGAAATTGTGATTAAATGTTTTGTAATTCATCTGAAAGAGAAGCTTAATGAAAGGAGACTGTATTGTAGGGACAGTCCAAAGGCACTGATGCTTTATTATGACATTTACAAAAATCACCTTTCAGAGGTTGTATGAGCATATAAGAGGGAAGAGTGTTTATTTTTATTGTTTACAGATATAATGATATAATACCACAGAGTGGAACACTGGATTTTAATCATAAGTCACATACTTCTGCACAGAGTCATGCCTTAGATTAAAGCCCAAAAACCTAAATGTATTAATCTCGACAATCAGAGGTTTCTTGCTAAAATACACCTACTTCTTCTACCACTTAAATGTTTGTATGTCCACAAGCTTGTGCTTTTGACTTTTGGTCAAAGAACCAGATACTTTCAAACAGAGTTCAGAGATATCTGTTGTACTGATGATATATACTGGGGGGTCTTTTCGCTTTATTATATAGAACAGCTGAAGATAGACAGTAAACGGGGTAGAGAGGGAGAGGGTCACAGGTCAGATTTGAACCCAACGTTTTGTACATGGGGCTCCAGCTCGTTCCCTGTTCATCCAGGGAACCATTTAAAAGCAAAGTCCTATAATGTAGTCTAGGGTGTTATCATATACAGTACAGAAACAAGAGTAACAGCTGTGTCAGGTCAGGTGAGGAAATATGAGGGCACCAAGGGAAAAGTGGCCCGGCCCCGGCCCCCCCGCCCTCCTACAATGTCCATCCAATCCGTCATGCATTACAAAAACATCACTGAAAACAAATTAAATTCATTTTAAAGAAATATGATGCACTGGCCAACAATTTATTCTCTTACATAAACTCTGTAATAACTCCGTTATATAATATAGAGTTTTGCATTATTCCAACAAATGAACACGCTGCTTCTGTACCAAAACAAAATGTTCTTGAATGTCCTTGAGTGCTGTTTTGAATTAATTTGTCAGATCGATGTTTGTCTGCAGATCCACAGTCCAAACACCGTCTTCACATGATTGTCAACAATGTATTTAATATAATCAATGAGCTATCTTCATCATCACCCACTTACATCGCGTTTACATGGAAATGAAAACAGTAACCTTTAACTAAATGGAGTGATTATCTGACATCATCTCTATCTCCATGATTTAGCTCTCTGGGGTGGGACCTGGCTTTGTTTACATTGATTTATCAATATTTAAGCTGTTCTTAGCATTGCTGTTAATAATCCTCGTACAGTTTGTCAGAAATAACAGAGCAGTCTATGATAAAGGCAAGAAAGCCTGTGTTGCCGTCTGGATCTGATCACAATCACAATCAGTACACTTAAAACAGTCCGTAGTCTTAGTGACAGCACCCAGAGGAAAATGGTCGAAGGGAGGAGTTTTTACTTTAAGTTTTTAATTCAGATTATTTTCTGTTCCAGAGTATGTAAGCTCATTTCAGTTTAGTGTTTATTGTTTTTAAATGTTTTTAGTTTTAATTGAGTTTTTATTAGTTTCTATAACAATATTATGGGGGGTATTTGTCAGGGGCAAGATTTAAGACAATCAGAATATGTATTACCATATAAACACAACATTTTGGGATGGCAACTGATTCACAGTCCTGTAGACATCCCAGTCTTGTGCTCGTTGTGTTTGACCAAACTGACAAAAACTAAGACATTTCCTGTATATTCACTTAGTTTAAGTTTAGTTTTTTTTTTTGGAGCTGAGGTGGAGCTGAATGAAGCCTGATTCCTAAAAACAGACACCTGTGATGGCACCCAAAGCTGCCACACCCTTAATTATACAAAACTATAATCCTTAATATAATTGAAAGGGGTGAGTTGTACGGTTGTCATGAACAGGAGAATTGGCTCTAGAGACCAAAAGGCTGTAAACATGTTTATTTCTGCTGTAAAGTTTTAGTATGGGGCCTTATGGAGACTGACTCACTGCTGGAGCCAGCCTCTAGTGGCCATTAGAGGAACTGCATCTTTTGTTACTTAAATGTTGGCTTCATTTGCAGCCACAACCCGACACATTCCCGCTTCCTGTGTAGACAGGAAGTTAAAAGACAAAACCGTCTTACGAGGAAATGTTTGGTTGGAATTCTTGCACCACTTTTGAGGACTGCTGAGTGCTGCCTATTTTCCAGTGATTTTACTCAAGTAGTCAGACTCACACACAGCTGGTTGCACATGTGGAGGTGAATGAGATTGGATTTTCAAAAGGAAATAGAGTTTATGCTTTTCTCTCCATCTGTATCGAAATGGATTTAACATTAAATATGTGATGCCTTCACTGTTGGGTTCCTGCAACCAGAGGAGGAACAAATGAGGCGAAATGCAGCAACAGATGTCGCTGGTATGTTGTTGTTGTTTTGTATACCTGTGAGATTGTTGTCCTGTTTTGAACGCTGCACAGTTCTGTTTATTCAGGTAAACAGACATTTTAATAAGGCGTGAATGTGCTTGCATGCTTGTGCAAGAGAGACCAAGCGGGAGATGGCGAGAATTTTTTATGAGTGTTATCACAAGCGGGTGGCTGGTGCAAGTGAGTCATTGTGGATGTGCAATAACACCTGTGAGTGTGTCTCATTCTTTGGCAGCTCCATCCCTCGGGTCCCATAAAGGCTGTCAGAGGAGAGAGAAATTGAGAGTGGGAGAGACAGACAGAGCTCTCCAGAGAGGGAGGATGGCAGAGTGAATGGGCAGCTGTCAACTGATTGTATCCATGCGCGTGTATGTATATGCTAATAAGAGTGAGGGTTTGATGAATGTCGTAATCAGTGGATGTGGATTGTGTCAGCGGGATAAGATGACTGTTAATAAGCTGCATCTTAATCAAACAGTTCACTCAGAGCAGAAAGTGACTTTGCCTCGAGGAGAAAGCAGATCAGAAGAGAGGGTACACAGTGCACGTGTTACTTATTAACATACATACATCTGTATGTAAGTGTTTATTCATAACTGTCATATAATGATACATATTGACTGCACTTAAAGGACCAGTGTGTAGGATTTGATTGCATCTAGTGGTTAAGTTAGAGATAGTCTGAAGACAGCTCAGCCTTTAAGCATGAATGAGAAACTATGATGGCTGCGGAACTCGAGAAAAAAGTGAAAGCTGTATCTGGAGCCAGTGTTTGGTTTGTCGGTCCATTCATTTCACTTTTCTGCATTTCCTTCTTCTACTAAATCCTCCTGTCCACTAACAAGACAATAAGTGTAGCTCACGGAGGGAACGCTGCCCTCTGGTGGTTGGAAGTATTAATAACTAGATCCATTTGTCCGACAGCAACACTGACATAATATATCTGACAGCTGTGTGCATTGGTAAGATTCAGTTAAGGTTCATTCTCCAGTCAGTGCCATTGACCAAGGCACTGGCTCAGATCTGGAGTTGGTCCGCGGACACTGCAGAGTGCCCACTGCTGCTTACGATCAATTCAGAGAAAGAAGGATAACTTAAGAGGATTGAAGCAGACATTAAAAAGCAAGTCAAAATTACTTTTATATACAGTAATTGTTAAAGTAATTAAAGGTTATAATGAATCTGAATACAACCCATGTGGTCTGATCCTAAACCTGGTACATTCATGGTCCCCCTGCTGCCTCACTAAGCTATCGGTAATGTACATGACATATTACAAATATAAACAGTGTTTGGATGAAGGTTTTCTTCTGGAACACGAGTTCTGGTTTCACTGTTGTCTCTATATGAAGGTGCTTTTAGTCTCTCCTGCTTTCAGCCTTTGAGCTCTTCTGTCTGTCCACCAGACATTGTAAATGTTCAGAGGCTTTGATGTAAGTGGTCTCTTGAGGTTGGTTTTCAGAGTTTCTATTGAACGCTCACTCTGCTGTGATTCCAGCCGACACACATACAGTTGATTTAGTCTCAGTGTAAGAGACACAGAAAGCTGTGTCTGTCCCTGGTGATCTGGGCCGCATAATGTGACATTAAACCAACAATAGATTATGTTAATGAGTGTTTGTGGGTGGTGGAGTTCAGCAGAGGAAAAAGAAACAACAGGACGTGTTAATACTCCTTCATTTTGCTTCTTTCGTCTCTCTCGCCTCTAACTGTCTTCCATTGAGAGCTCTTCACCTCGTTGTCTTTCATTATTCTCAGAGTTTTTATGCGTTCTTTCCTTTGCAGGGAAACACTGATGCTGAGCTGATTCACCAGGATGCCGACAGTGACGGGAAAAGAGGACAACAGCTCTATCTGAATCAGATTCCCTGCTCTGCCTCTTACTTACAGAACTCCTCACAGCACAAACCTGAGTACTGTACAGCTGCTGTTTCCTGCCCCGCCTCCCTCATCCCGCCCCCTACACTTCGACCTGGCTTTACACTCTCAGTTTCTGAGGAAGGGAAGTTCAGTAGCAGCCCCAGGGCTTTGGTCCTGTCAAACCCTGACCCCTGACACACTGTCCCCCCTCACATCACCCCTTCCCTCCCTTCTCCTCTCCCTGCCATGTCCAACGACAGCAGCCTCCTCAGCGTCTGGGAGCCCTCCAATTGGGCAGACACCTCTCAGTGCCCGCCGTCGGTAGGCGGGGCGACTTTCCTGATCGTAGCGTACAGCGCCGTCATAGCAATCGGGTTGCTAGGCAACGCAGGCCTGGTATTCATCATCGCCCGGCAACAGGAGTTGCGCAACGTCACCAACATCCTGATCGCCAACCTGTCGTGCTCTGACATCCTCATGTGTGTGGTTTGTCTTCCTGTTACCGTCATATACACCCTGATGGACCGCTGGGTGCTGGGAGAGGCCCTGTGTAAGGTCAGTGGACCACACACACACACACACACACACACACACACACACACACACACACACACACACACTTTTTGGGGAGATTTGCAGACTTACATTAATTTCCTGCAGATTTACCCTAACCTTAAACACTGTGCTAGAAACTGTACAATAATATAATAAGCTGATAATGATCCGACATCAGTAATCAATACTCACATTATTAAAGCATCAATCAAACTAATAACTAACAGCAGTCAACATCATACAACCTTATCAGCCTTTATCAGTTAGCTAGTGTTTCTGTAGTGGAGACTAAACATTAACAATGATCCATATTAACAGTTTAAATCCAACTAAAAGCTCCCTGCACCAAACTCCCTTTAAGAAATATCACATTCTAACAATTCCTAACGTGTTCGTAACAACACGTAACTCGAGCTAAAGGCCGTCATATGTCCACAGTCTGACTGTCAATACGGGATCAATATCATCCATAAAGATACAGTGTATACTGATCAATATCATCCATAAAGATACAGTGTATACTGATCAATAATCCATAAAGATACAGTGTACACTGATCAATATCATCCATAAAGATACAGTGTACACTGATCAATAATCCATACAGATACAGTGTATACTGATCAATATAATCCATACCCTAACCCTTCCTTCTCAGTGACATGGTAAAGAGAGGCGGACTGTTTCAATAATTAAGATTTCTCTCTATAATAAGTAATAATAATAAGAGCTGGTTTGTGGATCAGAAACACGGCCAATTGAACACAGACTCATAACGCTGTTGATTCACTGTTTGTTATGTGTGTGACGCCATTTGATATGTTTTTTTCTGCTGTTACCAAAGTAATTACACAGCTCGCTGCTTCCTGTCTGGTGCTGGAGAGAGACAGCTCTCATTGGCTGTAGCTCGTTGCATTGATTCCCTTTACACAACCAGATAGTTAACCTGCTGGATGTTATTTGGGCATCCGCGAGGCATTGGTGTCGTTGAACAGTTCACTCATAGCGAGCGCTGATTTGCCTCTGATCTGGGTGCATTTGTCTGTGATCTGAAACCGTGGCTAAAATGTGTGAGCTTCTTTTTAAACTATTTAAAACATCTGAAGCTGTTTTTACCTGTCTCTTTCAGGTGACCCCCTTTGTTCAGTGCATGTCAGTGACGGTTTCTGTCTTCTCTTTGGTCCTGATCGCTCTGGAGCGCCACCAGCTGATCCTCCATCCCACCGGCTGGTCCCCCGCGGCCGGTCACTCCTACCTGGCTGTAGGGCTTACGTGGCTGGTCGCTTGCTTCATCTCTCTGCCCTTCCTCTCCTTCAACATCCTCACTAATGACCCCTTTCAGAACATCAGCCTGCCCGCCAACCCTTTCAGGTGAGCTCAAATAATCTGGGACACAGGTGTGTGCAGGTTGTCACATTGACCAATAGCAACGGGACAGTGAGATATGAAATTAAAGCTGCAGGCAACAATGAACAGACTCTCGCAGTGGTTGGGTTACGTGCCAGGTAAATCAGATGAGCATACATGTCATACACCTTGTTGGCTGTAGGTGGCGCTATGACGTAAATGTGCTCAGACCAGGGCGCTTATCAAACATGTGAAGTCTGGGGTAGATTGGAGAATGTATATTAAAGGTAGGCTTAGAGATAGTGGTTAGGGTTTTTGGTGCCACGCCATGGACACGCTGTTAAACGAAACCTCAAGATTTTGACAACTTTTCATCGTGAACTTATTTAGAGTGTACTCACCAAATTTGAAGTCGATCCAATCGGTTCTCTTGGAGGATTTCGTTAAATTAGAACACCCAGAAAAGGAAGAATTGAAAGTGAAAGTGGCTGACCTCCTGTTGGGTTTGGGGTTTGGGTCCTGGAGGATTTTTGTATGCTCTGGATACGATATACGTGCAAACCGATTTTCATACATCATACATCAGTGAAACGTGCCGCTGGGGGCTTCTCTTTAGAGGTCGCTGTTGAGCCATTTTGCCACACCCAGAGACCTATACAATATGTAATATTCGTCTATTGAAATGCTTTTCAGCCTCCAAAAATGTGATTCATAAGGGAATAGAATAATAACACATTCAGTTTCAATATGCTCCTAATAAGAACATCCCTGCACAGCAACAACTGCATCACTGCTTGGAGAAATGCATTATGGGTGTGTGGATATGTATGTGGTTTATTTTGATACGAACACAAAGTCATTTCCATAGAAAGGAAAACACACACAAGCAGCCGCGTGCGTGGTAATTACATGTTTAGTGTATTATTTGATGCTTAATCCCTCTGGTGCTTCTGAGCTCTCGGCTGAGGAACAATGAATTCACTGTTTACTCTCTGTCACTTTTACAATATTCAATGATCATAGATGTGTCACTAGAGTCTGAAAACGGATTGATACTATATATAATACATGGACCCAGGAAGTATATGGGGGGGGGGGGGCGTGGAAATATTAAAAAAAATATTTTTTTTTTTTTTGTTTTTTTTTTTTTTTTTTTTTTGTGGTTTTTGTTGGTTGTACCCCAACACCCCATAAATAAAAAAAAAAAAAAATTTAATTTTTTTTGGAAAAAAAAATTGAAAGGGGGAGAAGACCCAAAATTTTTAAAGGGAAACTGTGCTGTATCAATAAACTCTCCTTCATAAGTTCTACAGAGGAACTGTGCTGTATCAATAAACTCTCCTTCATCAGTCTAAAGAATACAGAACATTTGTAGCTTCGTCTCTCTGTGATGGCCTTTTGTCACTCACTAAGTGTTCCTTACTGCTTCATTTCATTCATTACAAGGCCATATTATTTTGCTGTTGAAGCGTTAAATAATGACTAACGTGAGTGTGAAGGACACTAGCACTCCTTCTCACACTGAAACCACGAGGGTTGGAAACCTTTGTGAATCATTTCTCTATTCAAAACACTGGTGGACTGAGGCTGTTTGAGGGGCGGGGGCGAAGAAAGTAACACCAGTGCCAAGAAAGTTGTAATGCATCTATGGTGAAACAGCATTTTCTCCACTGGGCCAAGGGCACCTTATCATGTTTTATCTACCGTAGGGGCATCCGAAAGGGCACACCTAATAAAATGAAACTGTATACCGTATGTTGTACTGTGGATGGTTGTATATGTGACAATAAACTTGATTTGATTTAAACTCCTAGAAGACTTGTTAGCGGAACATCGGGTTTTAATCTGTCCTGAATAAATGGTGCGGAGATACCTCTCCTTTGTAACCCAACATGCTGTACCTGTGTCTGTCCTGTGTAAGGGACCATTTGATCTGTATGGAGCTGTGGCCGTCAGATAAGCATCGTCTTGCCTACACAACCTCGCTGCTGCTCTTCCAGTACTGCCTGCCACTCCTACTGGTGCTCCTCTGCTACCTCAGGATCTTCCTACGCCTGAGACGACGCAGGTACTTTTCTTTTCATAAAAGTTCCCTCGTATCTAGCTTTTGCCATCCAGTGTGCGACAGCTTGTTTGTGAAGGCACTCTATTTATATATTAGTGCATTGTGCCTTAGGTTTGGTGTGATATTTCACAGTGAATTGTCTGACAATAGGCATCATGCTGTGTTGTGCAGGGACATGCTGGAGCGCAGCAGGAGGACTCGGGGAGCCCAGAGGATTAACGTTATGCTGTTAGCCATTGTTGTAGCCTTCGCTCTGTGCTGGCTGCCGCTGAATGTCTTCAACACACTGTTCGACTGGCACCACCAGGCCCTGCCCGACTGCCAGCACGACGCCATCTTCTCCGCCTGCCACCTAACGGCGATGGCCTCCACCTGCATTAACCCTGTGGTGTATGGCTTCCTCAACAGCAACTTCCAGAGGGAGCTGAAGTTGACGCTGCAGCGCTGCCAGTGCGGTAGCCGGGCGGCGGAGAGCTACGAGAGCTTCCCTCTCTCCACCGTGGGCAGCGAGGGCATGACAAAAGCCACCTCCCTCAACAGGATGGGATCCGTGTGCGTTCCCTCGCCCCGACCTGAGATCAGCTCAGCAATACCAGCGAAAACAATACCAGCTAACACCTTATCATGAGCACTACCAAACTCCTGGCTGGCAAATGGCAGCTGGAGCAATGTGTAACAGACAGACCTCTGAGCAAGTCTGCTTCAACTGTACTTCACTTCCATAACTCTCCTGCTGGAGTGAGACGCCGTGTTTCACTCGAGCTGACTGTTCAGGGTCAGGACAGGATGAGGCAGGAGGTCCGGAAGCTGTAGCTTCACGTCTGGAAGTAAAATGGGCTCTGTTGAGGGACACGGACAGAAAGCAGAAGAGCTTGTAAACCCCCCCCAACTTCCAGAGTCACTGTTGCTATGGCTGTCGACCTTTGCATTTTACAAATGACGACAGATTTACAGAAATTCTTAGTAAGTTTTGAATCAATGGATCCATGATTTCAGACATTACTACAGAAAAGCAGCTTCTTATTTTTAGCCGGCAGCCATCGATTTTGATAAAAACTGTGTCGATAAAGTATTATACAGAAAAGAATAGTGTTATTATTAAACAGCTTCTAACAGCTTAAAGCCTAAACTCTGATATAATATGGCTCTGACGCGGTGGGTGTCTGCAACCCAACATAATGTAGTTAGGTAATTCTTGTTTTGCTTTGCCTCGGAGATAATTAGGTTACCATGGCGAATAGTAAGCTAGTTAACCAGACATGCTAACGTTTGCAGCTTACATTAAAGCAGATAAACACACTGTTTAATGAATTCCTTACATTTTTGCTTCTGTAATTTTGGTTTTTGGAAAAACAGTCCAATCTCTTCAGACATAGAGCCGTATATAGTTACGAACCAGTTGCTATTTCTGGAAAATTGCAATTCGGTGATGGGATAAAGCAAGAGGTCAACTGTGAGCAGCAACTGACAAAAATATGTAAAATGTAGGAGTGAGACGACAATGAACTCTCTAACATTATCATAAGGAAAGAACTTATGAACCTGAATGTTGTCAACTGTTGGCTGACATACGTGTGTTTTCTATGTAACTTTGCAAAGTGTAAATGATATATCATTATGATAGTGAACACTGTTGATAAGCATGCCTTAGTGAGCATTTTAAAAGTGTGGTGGAGATTATCAGTGCTTGACTTAGATACAGTGGAAGTAAATGAGGCTGCTTAACATTAGTGTATTATATAACTCATTTACTGTGAAGGTTTTCATTACAAACTGAACAAGTGATGGGCTTGCTATAATAAGCATTTAGAAACTTGAACGGATTTTCACAGGTTATAAATACAGTAAAGTCTACGAGAGATGTAGTTGTTATCGATGCCAATCAGCCTTACTTTTTTCTGAATGAGACTTTGTAGGAATGTTCCAAATACTGAGCGTGTTTTGTAGCAGTTATCAGACCGAACACGACGATATGAATTTAAAAGTCACAGACGACACCCACCAAGAGTAATTTTCAAGATACAATTTCTGATTTTTGTGTTAAAGTAGTTTCCCTCAAATCTCCTCCCAGCAGTTTATTTCCACCAAACCAGAGTTGGTGATTTGTTTTACAATTGCAAGGTAAGATTACTGGTTTGGGCAATAGAGTCTGGTGGGCTCCATTGCTTTAGTGCGATATCTGGATTTCGTAAATATAACCTTTAAATCTTGTTTTCACTTTGCAATTTTTGAACATTTTTGTTGAATCTAAGCTTTTCCATTTCAGCTTTTTTCTTCCTTTACAGAATTTTGATTTAATAACCTTCCATATTGTACTTGACATTCAGCAATATCCAAATGTAGTTTCCATACAGTTTCCTTTTTCACTTTTTATTTAACAATTTATTCTATGTAGTCACGCAGAATATTTTTTTGTTTTACATTTTTTACTTTCCATTACATTTTTTACTTTTGGTTAAAATAAACTGGGAGGGAAATCTGGGACAGCGAGTGTTATCGGGGATCTTTAACTTATGTAACAGTGAGTTTTGAGCATTTTCTATTTTTGCTGAATTCTCTGTCAAGTTTGTCAGTTCATTGTGTCATTAAACAAAGTGTTTGAAATGTAAACGTGTGTCGCTTGGTTTAGAAATTTGGAGCAAAATGTTTGGAAAGGAACAATTTATTCACAAATATAACATTTTATTTTTTTGTGAAATGATGTGAGCAGTGCATCGCCCCAAAGCCGAAGTAAAACCTTCGTCATAGGCCGAGCTGAAGCTGACCCGTGATGAAGAAGGTAAAGCGTTCCTGTTTGTCCGTAATGTCGCTCACTTAAAATGACTGAATCCACAAACTGGTTACGCTTCAATAAGTCGACTAGCTAATGTTAGCATAGCATTGCCCTTGTGGCTAAACAGAACAAAGCTGGTAACAGTGATAACAATCAAAGCCTCTACACGGACGCTTGGAATACCTTTTGGGATTTAAAGGTACAGTAACACATTTTTGGCTAACAATGTGGGGGTGGTGGGGTTACTCAATCCTGCCAAGGGGCCCAAAATTCCCGATCCAGCCCTGCTAGAGCCTTAATATGAGTACGGTCAGCAGTGAGCACTGTGTGTCACACAGCTCATTTAGCTCATTAAGATACTTTAAAACCTTAGCAACTGATTTCTGCTATTTGCTTCAAAATTCAAAGCTCAGTCCAATCTGATCACACATACTTTAGATTCAGAGTGACTCACACTTCTCGAGGATGTACGAGAATAAATGTCCATAAATCCACTTAGAAATAATAGAATCATTATAACTGCAGAACCTGCCTGAAATTCATCCCCTTTTTTAAGTTGTAGTCAGTATCAGAATGATTCAGTAATACTTGTCTGTATATCAATGGATTCACAGGAAACAGGAGCATTTGAGTTAATTCTGCATACATTTATTGGTGGAAATGTTCCAAAATGTTAAGAAATATTGGCAAAAAGAAAGAAAAACAAAAGTCAAATTGTAGCCCTGGGTTCCACAATATACTTCCTGTTTGGAAGTAATGGAGTAAAGATTATAATGAATAATAACAATAATAATGGTAGATACTAAATTTATTAAAGTTAACTTGTGTTCTATGTTGCATATCAGTAGATTTTTTGACATTAAGGTCCCATCAACATTGTTCTTGTATTCTTGTAACACTGACACTCTCTTAATTTACATTCGCTCTGTTGAAAACATTTAGAGATATAGACAAAAAAATCATGATGCAACACAGAGTGGCTTTACTTTAGTACAGTGTGTGTCCTCAGAGTCTGACAGCAATGTTCCTCTCCCTCCACCGCTGCCTGCCTGTAACATATGGACGAACTGAAGAGGTCTCCTGGGGGCAGCTGCAGCATATGGACGGCAGGCTTGACATAATGCTGTGTCTGGTGGAGCTTTACAGGGTAATGATGAGGAAAGAGCCCCTTTCCAGGTAATAGATTTGTAATTGATCATCTCTCACTCCATTTGGCAGAGAGTTATCACAGCGAAACAAAAGCTCTGATTGATTCATTTGTGCTGTTATTCCAGGTTCAGACTAAACAAACCTTCTGTCTGTTAAAGCTGTAATACGTAACATTAAAATTTACATAAACACTAGAAAATGTTAAATATGTTATTGAGTTGTGTACTTTGGGTGAAGAGAAGATGAAGCACAGGGAACGGGCAAGTGAGAGATCTCAAATTAAATCTATAATCTGTAACATTTCCTCATTAAAATATCTATAAACTCAGCAGTCAGAGAAACAAGCTGAGCTAACGTTAGCAGCAGCTCGGCTCGCAGCCCCTCAGTGATTGTTAAGGTGGAACTGCTTTATTCAGTGTGTTTAAGGTGGAACTGCTTTATTCAGTGTGTTTAGTGGTTTTAATCAGCGGGTCTGTTTGTGTTGGAGAGGAGGAGACCTCTGTGGATCATTGGGCTCCCGGTAGAAACCTCCTGAACCATGAACACTGAAGGAATCCTAACCGGGAGAAGCTGACTGCAATGACGCCAATGGTGGTGAAGACAACAACTCCCATGATCCCACGCTGCTTCACCACCTCATCAACCTTCATATTTTAAGAACAAGAATGTAAACAAACATGGCTGTCTTGTCTGTCACAGTTCCACCTTGCAGCATCAACAACATCCCTCCTCTTTCACTTCACCATGCTGATAGGTGTCTGAGTTCCTATTGGTTAATGTGGTTAAAGTCGGCAAGAGAAGGCAAAATAATTTGGACACGCTCGTCTTTCTGTTGGGACATTGTGTGGCATTCAGAGGAGCCGGCAGTTGTCCTCTACATGGGATAAAACCAACCATTGTCGCTCCCGCTGTCCTCCGTCTGTTGGGCTGTTATCCGGCTGTGCAGTCTGAACCTGACATTTCATCCTTTTATGATGAGACTGAGGAGAGCAGCACGCAGCTGTGGAGCTGAGGCTGGAAATCAGAGCCCAGCGAGCGCTGACAGAGGCCAGATCTGAATTTTACAGGTGACAGACTGGTTCAAGAGGCGGCACGGCTCACTGTAGGGGACGTGACCAGTGAAGACTGAGAACAGAAAGGCAGTGTTGACTCTACTGAGTGCTGATGTCAACAGAGGAGGAAGGCTAGAGAGAAAACAGCCTGCAGAGAGGAATCTGTCCTCCAGTCAAGACAGATGTTTGACAACAGCAGGCAGAACAGGGGCTGCTTGGTTCCAGAAGTAAGAAAACCTCATTCAAAATCCTACTGAGATTAGTAATGCTCATAACTAAAAAAACAGCAGCCTTTAACATCATGGCTCATAAGCTGAATGTCAGAAGAGGTGAGTCAAAGGTCCACAGCTACCTCAGACGTAAAGTATACACCGTGATTTCATTTCATTAAAGGTCCAGTGAGTAACATGAAGGAGGGTCTATTATCAGAGTCCACCATGTTCCTGCAGTTGTCCAGAACAGACAAACACTGGCTCTAGATCATTAACAGTATATAATTAGTGGACAGAGCTTCCGGGTCTGTGCAGTGACGCCGATGCAAGAGTGTTGTAAGCCTGCATTCTATGTAATGGTCAGCAGGAGGCAGCTCCATTGGCTGTAATAAAAGACCAATAGCATGTATACCAGCAATGAGTCGACTTGATTTATTCCCTCAGTAAACAGTTTCCTGATGAGTTTCTGGTCTCAGTCTCTAGTTTCAGTCTTCTTCCATACAGCATGATGTTCATTTAGTAACTGATGGTCCCATTTAGAGTAAAACAGACCATAAAGCAGGGTATGCTTTAGGGCGGGGCTACCTTGTGATTGACAGCTCATTCTCAGTGAGTCCGTCCAGCTCAACCAAACTCAGATCAAACTGTCAAACAGTGCTGATCAGATATGGATCCAGATTCTGTTGTTGACTATTTCTCTCCTCAGATCTGTTCACAAACACATTTTACTGTTTATCTGGAACACCAGATCCTGTGTGAGCAGGAGAGCAGCCAATGAGACGGGCCTTTCCAGTTTTAAAGAAACCCATCCTTCATTTTAACACTTGGTCTGTAATAGAAATAGACTTTCATCAGACGACAAAGCCTCTCCAGATACTGCAGGAGGGGAATTTGAGTCTTCAATCTGTCCACCTCCACTAGAGACATGAATCCAGTCCCAGTCCCAACACTCTCATTACATTCAGGATGAAGCCTGTTGGTGGTCTGTTGTTTTTCATTATATACAGTCTAACATTACCTCCATCTAATTAGCTCTGTGTATGTATGTGTGTGTAACAAATCTGTGACCACCATCTCTAGTCTGTGTGCATTTGAAATCCCACTCAACTCACCGACTCGTGAAGTGGCCTCAGGTCCTGCTGCTGATTGAATCCAGGCCTCCGGCTGCAAACCAACTTCCTGTTTCATCACCACACTCAGATTGAATTACCTGTCACTCTAATTAACCCTGCTGTATCACTGCTGAGTCTCACAGGTGTATCCAGAGGGTCTGTGCAGTTATTACATGTCCATGAATATGCAAATGAATTTCAACCATCCTCTTTGTTGGACCGAACTAACTTTGCATAATTGTCCTTCCTAACTGGTCCTTAAAATCTCCGTGGGGGCTGAGCAACTCGTTCAGGCTCGAGCCACTGCTTCCTGAAATGTTTGTCAGTGCTACTAAAATAAAAAGACAAGACTCTCTGTGATCCACATGTTTCAAATCTATTTTTTTGTGTAGTATTTCAGAGAGTGTCTGCTACCTGACATTTAATTGTGTATTTTGTCCTTAAAAAGTTTCTCTGCTTCAAATCTCCTCTGACTGACTGACTTCTGGTCTGGTGCCACAGTGTTGATTTAATGTAAAGTAATCATAAATATTTTATTTTGAAAACTGACCAGATTCTATTCTTCTAGATCTATTATCCTTTAGGACATTTGCCGTCACTACAAGCAACCTTTCTGTGCAATAATACTTTCATAAGAGGGGCCTGAGGTTGCAGTTGGACCCTTTTGCTGTGTTGGGGGCATGGTCCTGATGGTTCATTTAAAGGCCCAGTGTCCATCTAAGTGGTGAAATGTGAAATTGCAGATTACAACAAAACAGCTCGCCTTCCAAGCACGCGCACACTTGGAACTGTATTTATACAGCATATAGCTTTATAATCGAAAAATACCTAATACAATCTGGGACCTTTGAAATACAGTTTTATAGAGTTTTGTAGACTTGGATTTTGTCTCTCACCACAAATAACTTCACAAACACTCTGCTTCACAGATTTGAACTAGTTCTGTCTTATTTTGTAATAACACATGAAGTCTCTGTAGCTCCGCCGTTGGTGATACAATACGAGATGAACTCTGAGGCCGAGCTGCTCAAAGATAAAAGACATCAAACAACACCAACAGATCCAGCTGCCAGGCGTCTATCCTCTGCACGCGTAGATGACTGGAAGGACAAAACGCATTCGGATCTAGGGCCCGGTCTGATTTCCCACAGGGGGGGAAGGATGTCCTGTCCAGCAGTGACCCAGCACATCTTCCCCGCCCCCTTTATCCCTCTAAACCTCAATTATAGAGGCTTACTGTGCCAGCACAAGTCCTGCAGCAGACTGGCCAGCAACGAGCCTCCATCTCTACAGGAAATCCCAGAGAATACGA